TAGGATGGGGATGGATATCAGCAGTTACTTGGAGTGTGGAAGGAGCAGGGGTTGTAGGTTGAGTGTCAGTTTGCATTAAGTAATCTTGAATATTTTCAATAGTTTCTTCTGAGGAGTTGGTTGGGGAGTTGTGGGGGATAAAGGATTTCTTGTGAGGGGGGGAAGAGAGGACTGGTGTCTCAAGAGTTGGGGCAAAGGATGGTGGGGGTGATTGTGTGGTAGGGGAAGAGGGGGTGGAACGTTTGTTCTGTCTGTTACGGGGAGTGCGAGGAGGGAGAGGGGAAGGTGTTGGGGTTGTAGTGGTGATTGGAGTATCTGTAGTAGAGATTGGAGTTTCTGGATTTAGGATGGCAAAAGAGTTTGACTGGGGAAGGTAGGAGGTAGAAGTGGGGGGGGTTAGATGTAGGAGGGGTGGGTTTAGGAGAAGTGTTAGAATGAGCAGTATTACTGGAGTAAGGAGTAAGAGAATCCACGTCGACGTGCTTCCTGTCTGTTTTCACGCAGTGTGAATCCAAGTTTGAATCTGAGTTGCTACCTCAGATTCAAATTTGTAGGTGGGACAGCCCCTATAAAATACATTATGGGGGCCGCCACAGTTGGCACATGTGCGTGATTGTGCAGAGCAGTTAGATCGGGTATGGCCAGGTTGGGCACATAATGGGCATCTGGCTGTGGAACGGCAGTGTTTGGCTGGGTGTCCTAGACGCCAACAATTTTGGCACTGACGTGGAGGAGGTTGGTATGGACGAACAGGGAGGGATTCTCCTCCTATGTAGACGTTAAAGGGAAGGTCATGTCTACGGAAGGTAATTTTGGCTATGGTAGTGGGTTTCTTTCGATGACCTCTGGGGGGGATGGAGTAGCATTGTACTGATGTTGCATCGTAGTCTGTGAGACAGGCAAGTAGATCTCCACAATCTGACCAATCTTTGTCATAGATTGGGCAATTTGCTGGTGAGATTGAGACTGTTCCGGTGCAAGTATTGAGGGTTGGATGGGGTTCTGCTAGGATGGGGTTACCATATAGGTCAGTTAGTTTTGTTAATGCAATGGCTTGGTTTTCGGATGTTACTGTTACAAGACGGGAGCGGTCGGGTCGGCTACGGAAAGAGACTTTACCTACTTGTTTTTGGAGGCATTGTTGGAAGAGAAGGGTGTTGTCAGAGTAGGGAGCTGTGGGAGGGATCACGAAAAATCGGTCCCATTTGGCTGCACTGAAGAGAGTATTCAAGATTGTTTTAGAGATAGGGGTGGTAGAAGGGCGAGGGCGTGACGAAGATGGAGTAGTGTTGATGGAGATAGTGTTATGGAGATGTGGGCTATAAGGCTGTAAGGTATTAATAAGGGAGGATGGGGTGGTTGATGTTGGAGGTTGTAGGGGTAGAGGTGTTGAAGTTGGGCATGCTGGGAGAGTGGAAATGTTCCTTGAGGGTTGATTGTTGGCTACTGTACTAGTAGGCATTGGTGAAGGGGCAGTTATTGCAGTGTTTGGAGCCGTGGTCAAAGGAGAGCCTGGTGTCGGGGAATCGGGTGGGTTTACTTCTTTGGGGCTATTTGATAAAGGGGCAAGCCTCATTGCCCCTAACAGTGGGGATATATTTTCATTACTGGCCATGGTAAGCCTGGTTATGTTGGGGATAAAAATAGTCCACCCCTCAGGGTCCCCTTGAGGGGTAAGGGCTAGATACTAAATCAGGGGAATACCGTGCCCATGGCTCCCTCAGGCCGTTCAGGACTGGCACAAAGTCAGCCTTTCATCCTTTCAGCACGGCTCTCACACCTTAGGAGGTGGATAGCAGAAGGGTTTGGTGAAGGGACAGAAATAAAAGTGGGAAGGGAAAAAAAAGACCATGCACAATTAGTTGAGTCGAGGGCTGAGTCCCAAGGTTGGGGAGTTCCCCATCATTGGGTCCCAGTCTCCACCTCCTAAGCCCCCCCACGACAACAACGGGCAAGGGATTGGGGGGGTCCCAAGGTTGGGGAGTTCCCCATCATTGGGTCCCAGTCTCCGCCTCCTAAGCCCCCCCACGACAACAACGGGCAAGGGATTGGGGGGTGAATGGTGAATGGTTAAAAGCAAGATAAATGTGCTAGACATCTAAGGTCATGTAGCACTATAGTTAATGTTAGTGAAGGGTGGTTGAGTTAGTGATTAGTTGTCTAAGCTGGGCAAAGGAATTAGTGAATGAAAGGGTTAAGGTCGGGTGTTATATTAGATAAAGGGTATGCATAAGAAAGGTTTCTTGAAGGCATACAATAGATGGGTTATAAGAGGAAAGGATATGATGGTCAGGTCTGTGGGAGCGGAAACCGCGAATATTCCAATGAAGGATAGTTATACTTTCGTTGATTTAGTGATATAGATTGCAGTACGTGTTGGAGAATTTGAAGGGGAAGCAGCTAGAGGGTGGGATAAGGACTGAGAGGTTTGAGATGGGAGAGGTGTGGGAGTTGGTGTTCTATCAGGAGGGGTATTAGGAGGTGGAGGGTCTGAGGAAGGGGATACTTGTGACATAAGGGATTCACGTGTGTATCCAGGAGGGAGTGGAAGGGATAGAGGGGATGGTGGGAGAGTTAATGTGGGCAGGGTTGGGGTCAGGGGGGATGGGCTGTGTTGGGAGGGGGTAGGAGGGTAGGGTGTAGGGGGGATATCGTTAGGAGGAGGATGGATATCAGCAATTACTTGGAGTATGGAAGGAGCAGGAGTTGTAGGTTGAGTGTCGGTTTTCATTAAGTAATCTTGAATATTTTCAATAGTTTCTTCTGTGGAGTTGGTTGGGGAGTTTTGGGGGATAAAGGATTTCTTGTGAGGGGGGGAAGAGAGGACTGGTGTCTCAAGAGTACGGGCAAAGGATGGTGGGGGTGATTGTGTGGTAGGGGAAGAGGGGGTGGAACGTTTGTTCTGTCTGTTACGGAGAGTGCGAGGAGGGAGAGGGGAAGGTGTTGGGGTTGTAGTGGTGATTGGAGTATCTGTAGTAGAGATTGGAGTTTCTGGATTTAGGATGGCAAAAGAGTTTGACTGGGGAAGGTAGGTGGGGTTAGTGGGGGGGTTAGATGTAGGAAGGGTGGGTTTAGGAGAAGTGTTAGGATGAGCAGTATTACTGGAGTAAGGAGTAAGAGAGAATCCACGTCGACGTGCTTCCTGTCTGGCTTCACGCAGTGTGAGTCCGAGTTTGAATCTGAGAGTTGCTACCTCAGATTCAAATTTGTAGGTGGGACAGCCCCTATAAAATACATTATGGGGGCCGCCACAGTTGGCACATGTGCGTGATTGTGCAGAGCAGTTAGATCGGGTATGGCCAGGTTGGGCACATAATGGGCATCTGGCTGTGGAACGGCAGTGTTTGGCTGGGTGTCCTAGACGCCAACAATTTTGGCACTGACGTGGAGGAGGTTGGTATGGACGAACAGGGAGGGATTCTCCTCCTATGTAGACGTTAAAGGGAAGGTCATGTCTACGGAAGGTAATTTTGGCTATGTTAGTGGGTTTCTTTCGATGACCTCTGGGGGGGATGGAATAGCATTGTACTGATGTTGCATCGTAGTCTGTGAGACAGGCAAGTAGATCTTCTCCACAATCTGACCATTCTTTGTCATAGATTGGGCAATTTGTTGGTGAGATTGAGACTGTTCCGGTGCAAGTATTGAGGGTTGGATGGGGTTCTGCTAGGATGGGGTTACCATATAGGTCAGTTAGTTTTGTTAATGCTATGGCTTGGTTTTCGGATGTTACTGTTACAAGACGGGAGCGGTCGGGTCGGCTACGGAAAGAGACTTTACCTACTTGTTTTTGGAGGCATTGTTGGAAGAGAAGGGTGTTGTTAGAGTAGGGAGCTGTGGGAGGGATCACGAAAAATCGGTCCCATTTGGCTGCACTGAAGAGAGTATTCAAGATTGTTTTAGAGATAGGGGTGGTAGAAGGGCGAGGGCGTGACGAAGATGGAGTAGTGTTGATGGAGGTAGTGTTATGGAGAGGTGGGCTATAAGGCTGTAAGGTATTAATAAGGGAGGATGGGGTGGTTGATGTTGGAGGTTGTGGGGGTAGAGGTGTTGAAGTTGGGCATGCTGGGAGAGTGGAAATGTCCCTTGAGGGTTGATTGTTGGCTACTGTACTAGTAGGCATTGGTGAAGGGGTAGTTATTGCAGTGTTTGGAGCCGTGGTCAAAGGAGAGCCTGGGGTCGGGGAATCGGGTGGGTTTACTTCGTTGGGGCTATTTGATAAAGGGGCAAGCCTCATTGCCCCTAACAGTGGGGATATATTTTCATTACTGGCCATGGGAAGCCTGGATTATGTTGGGGATAAAAGCAGTCCACCCCTCAGGGTCCCCTTGAGGGGTAAGGGCTAGATAACTAAATCAGGGGAATACCGTGCCCATGGCTCCCTCAGGCCGTTCAGGACTGGCACAAAGTCAGCCTTTCATCCTTTCAGCACGGCTCTCACACCTTAGGAGGTGGATAGCAGAAGGGTTTGGTGAAGGGACAGAAACAAAAGTGGGAAGGGAAAAAAAAGACCATGCATAATTAGTTGAGTCGAGGGCTGAGTCCCAAGGTTGGGGAGTTCCCCATCATTGGGTCCCAGTCTCCGCCTCCTAAGCCCCCCCACGACAACAACGGGCAAGGGATTGGGGGGGCAGGGATTGGGGGGGAAAGTGGGTAAAAGAGTTTGGAGAACCGTGCTAAATAAGTTGATTAGGCAGGGGGAGATCCAAGTCTTCATCTCCTAAGCTCTTCCTACAATAACGGGCAAGGGATGGGGGGAGTTATTGATAGGTATTGTCCTAGGGCTGAGGCCCAAAATAAGGGGATATCCCCAGCATTGGACCTCAGTTTCCTCTTGTATGCCCTCTCTCCACGACAGCAACGGACAAAAGGTTAGACAGGGGAGGGGGGGGGGGGTTAAAAAAGGAAGAAAGGGAGAGGAGAGAGAGAGAAAGTATGCTGCTGAAATTTTAACATATGCTAAATTGTCATGTCAGTTAATAAGGATAAGAAAAGGCAAATACTAGTATATAATTTTACTTAAAAAAGTAGTGAAATAAGAAGGGTAGGATACTCAAATGTTTATTTGGAACTGTAGCTATACTAGCATATAATATATTAATCAAGTATTACTGCCAAATTATAATTGCATCATTAACATGCAGAGTTGAAATCACAAAAAGAAAGTAATGATCAAGTAGCCCCTTAACATAAAGGATTGATGTATGAAGTGTGGGCAATAATAATAGGGCAGTTAACATCCTCATTAATGTTATAAATAATGAAATGATCAATGAACAAATTTGTATCCTACAACGTCTAACTCTGGCAGGTAGACTTGTAGATGGAGAACTTTCAACGAACGTCCCACAGAATGGCAGGATATTTGTGAACTAATGCATATTATGTTCAAATTTCAGTGTTTTATTCAGAATAATTTTTTTTTCTCTAGTTAAAAACACTAAACACACAATCATTATCTCTTGGCCTAAATAAATATCATCAATGAATTTGATGAACAGGTGGTTTGATACACAAAGATAAAAATTGACAACCTTCTTATTGTGGGGTGTTAAAGTTTTATTATCTATTCTTAACAATGTTTCATTTTTGCCTAACATCTACTCTCATGGTGTATGCAATGTCCATATTTGCTTTACATCCTACAATTATGAAATGGAATGGAAAATAATATTTGAACTTCAGATTAACACATCTGAAGGTCAGATGCTCCTATTTACAGTACTGTGAAACTGTCAATAGAAAGCATTTTAAAAAGTGTTATAAAAAAGAAAATATTGCTTGCCAGAGGTTTAACCACTTTTCACTGCTGAGATGTGTATGCTGACTCTGTTTAAAGAGGCATCTCTTTAACAAGTAACACATTTATTTTTTTACAAAAAAGACAAACAATGCTATCCTTAATGCTGTAGAGATGCACTTATAAAATTTCTTGTCCAAATCTAAAAAAGGGAACTTGTCACTGTAAGCCAACGAGATTTCACCACAATCCGTATATACTTCAGTTATACATATCACTTAAATCTCTTCCAAACAGTTTTTTACCCTTACCCTTTTCAGGTTACCTACAATATAAAGCATTATTGTTTGCAAGTATCTTGTTTCTGTCTGCTCAATACCATGATGTCAAATACTGAATTATCCAATCACTTGTAGTAAAGGAGACCAAGTACTGCAAAAAGTTCAAAATGTATCTCACAAAAGACCGTGCCCATCGAATAGGGTACGTCATTTTGTATTGTTCACCTTTCAACAAATCCTGCCCATTGTTCAAAAGCTTTTCCTGCCCACATTCCATGATATCATATCTAGTGGATGGTTCCATGAGCTTTCTATTTTTTTGGTTACAAGAACAGTAAAAGAAACCTATACAATGCTGAACAAAATAGCACACTATTGAAAACTTGGTGTATCATTATATAATACCCTAAACAGGTGAATACTACAACACCATCAGCTGTTCTCCTTTTTCTGCTGTTCTATTACTTTCCTGCTTTGCCTCCATCCTTTTTCTCTGCTGCTTTCTGTTGCTTAAGTCTCATCATTTCTGCATCTCTTTGTTTTCGAGCTTCCAGAGTCATGCCCTTGTTGCCATCCTGTATAAAAAAAATTAATTCAAATTCAGTGTTTATTAATTGGACATTAATCCTCTTGACTAAAAAATATTTTCTTTAGTTTCACCATTATATCTAGGGCTATATTTACAATATCTCCCATACAAATTATTTAAAACAGCAATAACACTCCTACTTGTCATTTTTTTGCATGAAGAAAAGTAAAATAGCTGATTGTACAGAGACCTATTTTCTCTTTAATAAATTCTTCAGATCACATCATCTGCTTTATCTTTTCTTTACTAATATTGATTAAATACAATTCTAAAAATATAAAAGGCATTTACAACTTACCTTTGCACCTGCACCTTGCCCTTTCTTACTCTCAATTTGCTTCTTCGCATTTTTTGCTCGTGCAAGTTCGCGCTGATTTCCACCTGAAAGTAGACATTTCCTTATATGACTTCATGTAATGGTACCTCAAACATCAATAGCTTTCAAACAGAACACCAAACTCTTTTCCTTAATCCACACAAAACCTGGCCAAGTAAATGGTCTGAAATTTAGATATATTCTTTTAATAAAACTATAATTTCAAAAGAAGTTAGAAAGTAATCAGAACCACATAGGTGTTCACACTTTCTAACTTCTTGTCTTCCTATGACTTTTTTCTGAGACCCTAAAAAGGGGGTCTTTACAATATAATAAAAGTTTACAACCATAACTTCAAATATCTAGAAACTTCAATGTTCTTCTAGAAAAAAATGAGTTGAAATATCTATTGACATATTTTCATGACACATACTGATGCATGCATGCACGTGCACACACACACACACCCACATATATGTATGTTGCTTAACTTAAGCCATGGTATAAAAACATCAAACTAAATAGACTAAAGTAAATGTTCGAGTTTTGACTGACTCCTTATTTAAACGTAAATCCCCAAAGTCTAAAGCAAGAATAGGCATGGTGGTTATTAACCAGTGGCAGACTACATTGTGTCCTGGAAACATTTACCTAACTAACTTTTGCACTAACTTTGGTAATATCTCAAGTATACTCTATATCAAGACACCTACCATCTTTTAATGTTTGTTACTTTTTCCTTAGCCTAATTTCAACCAAACAATATAATTGCTTCTTATAGAAATGTTGTAATTTTTTAAACTATAATCCTTTTTTCATAAATTGTACTACTTCTCAATCTTGTCAGAATGTTAGTGGCAAGTGAAATGAGTAGACTTGAAGACTTTACTCATAATTATATTAGTTTGGTCTATTAAAATCAACCACAACATGCCATGGTCTGTGATGGACAGCTTAAATTTTAGTCTGTCTTACAGAGATACAGTGGCAAATGATCAGTGTACTGAAAAACACCAAAAGACTTCATCACTTGTATCATTTTAACAAGCTAAGAGCTTAGAATGGTATATCATTTGACACCTTTGTAAAGGTGCAGTCACATGATTACAGAGTAGTACTAATTATGTTTCTACTACTACTAATTATGTTTCCATGAAAATGGACAATGGTTGGGACCTTGGAGTACATACATTTTGGGACCTTGGAGTACATACATTATGGTAATAATGGTTTTATTACCTACAACGTTTAAAATCAACTAAGACCTGACTACCAGTCCTCACTTTTATGCTTTGTTTATTAACATTTAAGTTATACAAACTTGCATATGGATAATCTTTTCATGGAGATCAAAAAGTACATGGAGATCAAAAAGTACTATAATTAAGAGGAAATTATATATTTCCAATCTAAATGGTGGATCTGACTGCATGAAAGTGAAAAAGTAATCGCTACTCACTTAGTTTATTTATAATAGACATTTAAATATCTTACAGCAGTTTTTTAAAATCACTTATGATGTTTACAGGTGGTTAATGTATACTCCAGTTAGGGAAATACAGCAATTAGTGAGGATTCTGGGGGCAAAACTGCCTCATTAGGAAGGTCTTACGGTCCAAGTGGCAATCATTGTGGTAGTTTTTGCTTTAAGGATGGGATTCATTTCTTCCTTCGGAGACTGATGAATTCAGTGCAGTTGTAATCTTTTACTTGTTTTTTTTTTCTATTTAACCCAATGTCAACAGGCATAGTATATACGTACATGCCATGCCCACTGTGAGTTTACTTTATTGTCTTTATGCATAGATGGCTACTCTTGCAATAAGTCACCAATGAGCCAATTACGAGTACTGCCCACCAATTCAGGAAAGGTGAAATTAGATAAGGTTACCAGGTCTACTAATTGACTCCTTTGTGGCTAAGCACTAGCAGAGCCATCTATGTGCTGAGACATTTCACAAAAAAATTAAAATCAGCACAGTATTTTCCCAGCAGCATTGGGTTAATTTATCAAATCTGTCACTTGAAACAAGTTTTATTCAACAGCTAAACATTCAGCATGCTGTAGGTTACTAGCACACAGGCAGAAATATCAACTTTGTGCATGTGTTGTAACAGCAATGTGCATAGAACTTTCCCTGTGTGATATAATTTGCACACAGGACATTGTCACACCATAGTGTTGTTAAAGAGATTAATCATAATTATTAATCTTCCCATATTATTCATGTTTCAGAATTAAATAATTTCTCTCAAACTGACAATATAATAAAAAAATGTTTCTTACTTTCAATCTTGTATA